TAACTCAAAGATTACTACGGCCTGGTGTTACTGTAACGTTAACAGTATGTGTATCATTTTCTTCTATTGGATGCTTTGTAATTATTCTACATGACTTTTCCTTTGATTCATTCTCTGCAAGCCAATACTGCCTTTTTAATGATGCAAACTGCTTTTGCCCTTTTTACATGCATGATATGATGAAAAATATTTACCTCAGGCAAATGTCTAAGTGGACTTTCATTCCTTACAACTGCATCCAAAATCTTATGAGGCACAGTATGGCAATTTTCTGTAGGATTATAACTGATATATTAAATGTTAAAGCTTCACTTATCTTATCTGACTTTGATGCTACCCTTTTTTGTGGGCACTGGGATTGCAATATCCTGGGTGACCACAGGAGAAACAGAGTCCGGGCTTGCTTGCTGATGTCAAAGAGGCTGCATACCGCTGACCAGCTCTGGTCTCTTCAGCTACTTGCTGCCATTGTATGTACATGTATGCCATGACAATAATCCAGTTGCTTTTTGTCTTCTTTTGGCTTCATCTTACTTGTGCTTTTTGGTCACTCTAGCTTCCATTCTATCTATGCACTCCTCATCGTCTGAGTCTGAGATAAGTGGATTTGATTCATACTCATTGACCACCATCCAGCCCATGTCAGATGAGTTTGCTAGTTTGATCAACTTTTAGCTATGATTTAACAAGGCAATACCAAGTGAAATATAATGTCCATGGTCCAGCTTTTCATAACCACATGGCCAGAACCAGTAATTTTCCAGAGTAGTACACATGTCGAGACTCCAATGAAGCCAGTCGTGTGTGTTAACATGTCTACATGTGCTTTCAGTCATACCTACCCTATTGTTGCATTTCAGCACTGGACAGCCGGGTGATGTGCACACAATTGAGGACATCAAAACACATTATTCTGTTTATATGAATTCTTATTTACAACTTGCTTCCCCAAAGTATTCACAAATATTCCAAACTTAAAATATAAAATAAAAGTAGAGGTTTCAGCAGTCCAACTTCCAGATTGGAAAATATCTCAGTAAACACTCAATATCTGCTGACCCCAAATATCTAAAATTTGATAAGACATATTCCCGTTTGTACTGAATGCTGGACAGTTACCACCAGATGTTAGTCTCAGGCAATCAAAATCCCCCAAAGATTTGAGTGTTTAAAATTATATTACCTTTGATCTTTCTTATCTACAATTTGAATAAATCAGCAAGCACTTCGACACAAAATGTCTATAGTTTTCACATTGCCTTGCGTATTAAATACTAGAAGTTTCTAGTCTTTACAGAGTTACTGTTACAGTTAGTGCACTGGAACACTGTTCCTAAAATTTCAACTGAACCTCAATCATCAAAGTGACAGGAAGCTCTGACCGGTCCTTGGCAAACGAGGTCTTGAGTAACTAGGTAGCCTGCGGTCAGTCTCTACAGTAGTTCTGCTTTGGTCGTCACTCTGTCCAGACTTTCAAACTCAGATAGTCACAGGGTGTCTTTTTAATCTCAAATTGATGGCCATCTGAACATTAATATATATAAATGACCCAAAACCTACCAATATTGTTTCACTGTTACAAGTTCTTAGTTTGACATTCTCAAGGACAAAATGGTAGCTAACGTCTGCCTCATAGGAAGTTGCAAACATCCATAAACTTCCTCTATCATTTGAGTTAAGTGGATCATCAAAATCCGAGCTTTGACTTGCACGTAATCCTTAAACACATCACCATGAATCGGACACTTAGCACGGCATAATTACTTGTTAACTCTTGCACACACAGCAATACATTTCAAATTTGAATTAAACAAGCAATTTTGACCTTTTTTAAAAAATACATCATCAATGAATAACTTACAGTTAATCTTCTCTTGCTTCACTTAGAGTCTTTGCCCATCGCCTGGTCCAGAACTTCTCCACACAGAATGCCAAAAGTGGCATAAAAGCAGTGCCAAACTGGCACAAAATTTCACACAGAAATTTGACTACGATGCACACAGCACAAACTTACACTGTGAGAGCACACAGCTCAACTTTCATGTCAGCACAAAGCATCAACTCCACTCTGGAACACAGGCAACTACAGACAGGACATGCAGTGAATCCTACACCTCTCTTGTCTAGTGGTGTTCTGCTTCTGGGGCAAAGCCCATGCTAATACACCAGCCTAGCTAGAGACTTAGCATGCCCTGCATCCTACTATACATTGTCTAGCCCTCTAGAGTCCCAAATTCACAATAGTCTACCTAGATGAACTGTGGCCTTACTAATCCTTAGGTGCACTTAATGAAAGGAGGGAAATTCTTCAAGTACTGGCTTTCCACACCTGAATCTAAATAACTTAGCTGGGGAGAAAATGACTGAAATACTTTACAGACACACCAAAATAAAGATGCCAGAATTCAAGAGAGGAGAAGTTTAAAAGGGGGAAAAATCTACTCATGACGCCTATACCTACAGTATGTTCCTACATTGTGCAAATGGACAGTTTCTGTGTGCTTTACAGTGCTGATGCCACATGTATGATTACGGAAAGTATTGACAATTTTATGAAGCTATGCAAAATCAAAACAAACCGTTTCATCTAGTATTTGGTTGTAATATATTTGTTCAAGCCATAATGTTTGGGCATTTATATTTACAGTAATAGTTTAGGAGTTTCTTATTCACGTAAAACTTTTGTACAATTTTTATTATTGTATAAGCAATTATGCTGGGAAAAACATCAACAAGAAGAAAATCAATATCACCAGCACTACCAGAGTTTCTGATCACAATATCACCAGCACTACCAGAGTTTCTGATCACACTGTCATCATCCAAAATCAAACAGTGATCAAGCAATATGAATGCATCTACCTTCATGTATGTCACATTACATCAGTAACGTTGCAGTAACATCTTGTGTGTTTTTTTCACTTTTCAGAATGCGTCAGTTTTTGAACAGCATTATCCTGAGACATTAAAGAGGGTTTTTGTTATCAATGCACCAAAGATTTTTCCTCTAGCCTACTCCCTTGTCAAGCCATTCCTTCAGGAAAATACAAGGAAGAAAGTGAATATCCTAGGAAGTAAGTTTGCGGTTGAGGAATGTCAGTTCATTTGTTATTTGTTCTGGTGTCAACCATTCTACGCCTCTTGTCATGTATTTACATAAATTCTAAAATGTAACAGTAATCTACCAAATACTAAATAATAAAGCATGGAAACTTGAAAGAATTAGTAGCAGAAAAGTACATAAGCAGTGGAGTAGAGTTTGCCAAAGACGTATAAGAAAAATGTGCAGAATGTTGTCAAAAGAGGATGGAGTTCTGTAAAAAAAGTTGATTTTCAGAAGCCAATTTGCATCATAGACATCATTATTTGCATAATGGGCAGGTAACTGGAAGGCCGTACTGCTGCAATACATAGATGCTGAGAATTTACCAATGTATTGGGGAGGCACAGCAACAGGGCCAGATGGTGATCCACATTGTACACATCAGGTTAGAGTCTTCCCCTCATATGCTTGCCTTTGCTTATTTTAGTTTCAGTTCACTGCCATCATTTGTGATCTTTTTTATCACCTCTTCACGTTTCTCTTCTTTCCCTGCAAAGTGTGCTTTTCCTCTGCTATAAGTCATCTCTGTGTAACAGTTATCTTTTTTACCACTGTTATTTCTTTATTTTTCCAATCTCACAGTAAATTCTTTGTGGATCAGTTTTGTTGAATTAATTACCTAATGGAGTCAACCCCACCCCTTTGAAATTAGTTCATATTTGGTGTATATAATATCTGAAATTAAAGAAGCCTGTGTAAGGGATTGCATTTTTAGGGGCCAATTGAAAATTTGCAATTTTATGGATATTTTGTTTGAAAACACGTTGCAGTGTAATTATTTTTCACTCAAGTTCATCGCAAGTCAAGCAAACCCCAAGGTCAAATTTTTTTCAATGTAAAAACCAGAATGTCATTGTACATTAGATTGGCAATTAGCCAAAATTGGGTTATTCACCGTAACTTTCCAATGGCAATTGTGCATTTTTCTCTTGTGATTTGTTTTCTCTACAGATAGTGGTAGGTGGTAAAGTTCCTGAGAGTTATTACATTAAAGACAGAGTGGTATCAAGTCAGGACTTGACCAGATATGATCTGTCAAGAGGTAGCTGTCTAGAGCTCAAGTATGATGTTGGCAAGCCTGGTAGCATTTTAAGGTAAGTCTGTAAAAGGACGGTTTGCTGTCAGTTCAATTTTCAGCTTACAGAAAGATTAAAAAAAAATTTTTTTTGAATGACCAACATGGGTAGGTTTGCTTTTCTCGTGCTCAAAACATGCATGTAGAAAGACACTGTTTGAATCCCCCCTCTGCCCACACGCACACAGCTGTTTAACTTCCATGACAGTATGCCTTTATTTAAAAATTCAAACCTGAATGGTTTTAGATATTGATCTGCTTTCATGGCAATACACAGTCTATCACATGGTCTATTATGCACAGTCTATTAAATGCAGGGGTAAAGCCAGCCTCGTGGAGGGTTTGGACTAAAGTGGAAGTCTTAAATTACATCTTCCCTTCACATGGCTGGCGACTGCACTATGAATAGGGCACTTTAAAATTATGCCCAATCAAAGGGATCAGTAATGTCAACAGTAGCATGACCTGGGTCACGATAATGGCTTCATACAATGGCATAAGTAATGTCACTAATAGGTCAGAGCAGGTGCCCATTACCACCGTGTTATGTCTGAAATTTCACGACACACTTGAGTTGACCTGTGGAAAACGGTGTTTGAGAATTGAAGGATGATTTGCCTAGCCAGACTTTATTTTATTTCACAGATTAGTTCAATTCAGCTTGGTTTTGCCTTGAATTTATTTTGGTCATGTGGATTAAAGGAATCATAGAAGTTTCAATTTAAATGCAGTTTACATTATGTAATATTTTGAATATGTCTGGGCCAGTCTACTTGACCTAGTGCTTAATATACTTAAATTGGATTTTGTTTTCTGCAAAATCTCTTTTATCTGTAGATATGAATTTAAGACAGAAAGTCACGACCTTGCTTTTGGCATCAGACGAATCGCTGAGGATGGTGGCAAAGTAGATGTCTTGAAAAAGCAGCGATATAACTGCCACCTGGTGCCAGAAGATGGGGAGATAAGCTTACAAGAACCAGGAAGATGTAAGAAAACCAGTGTATCTGTAATCTGTAAAAACAATGTTTGGATTAAAAGTTTTCCTGTATAAGTCTAACTTCTCAATTGTTATTACTTGGTTTAATGCTGATTTTTGACTTGCTTTCAGATGTGGTCAGGTTTGACAATAGCTACAGTTGGATCAAAGCAAAAACTCTGCTGTACTTGGTAGAGCTCCTAGAACCAGTTGATGAGACACAGGAAGATGAAGCTGAATTTGTGCAAGCAAT